CATCTTGCAAACCACACTCTTCTCTTATTACACAATTTCTTACCCTGTCGTCAGATTCAGCCCTAACATACTCCTTAAGGACCGCATTTCTACTGCGTTGCTCTCATGCTTCTTCTGCCACACCCAACTTTCACTACCATACGTTAAAGTAGGGACCAACACAGCACTGTGAATTGCCATACGTGCCTTTTTTGACACATTTTGACTCTTCACAATAGAGTGCAGGGCCCCATTTACTCTATTTCCCGCATTCACTCGTCGTTCTATATCCTTATCATATCTCCCATCCCTGCTAAATACGCAGCCCAAATATACAAACTCATCTACTTTCTCGATCAACTCCCCTTCTATTCTTATTTCACAAATCGTTTTACTTTCTTCTCTTTCAAAAACCATAACCATCGTCTTACTTGCGTTCACTTTCATACCCCTTTCTTTTAATGATCTGTTCATTAATGTAACCATCATTTGCAACTCGGCCGCCGACGACGCAAGGATAACTTGATCATCGGCGTACAAAAGGCATTTGACGGTTAACTCACCCATTCTTAATCCGCATTCTTCAACTTTCAAATTTTGCAAACAACTGTCCATAAATATGTTGAACAGCCACGGGGAAGCCACACAGCCCTGTCTGACACCTTTATGGATGCCAAACCAGTCCGAGTAGACCCCGTTGATCCTAACACAAGCACTAGATTCCCTATAAAGCGACTCCAATGCCTGTATCAAGCCAGCGTTCAACCCAAATGAATTCAGTGTTTGCCATAGTTCATCCCTATCCACTCCATCATAGGCCTTTTCCAAGTCCAAGAACGCACAAAAAACCTTTTGGTTTTTGTCCAAAAACTTTTCCGCGGTCATGCGCATGGAAAAGACTTGATCTGTACATCGCATTCCCTTTCTAAATCCCGCTTGCACATCCCAAATTTTTTCATCAGTTTCATTCATGACCCTTTCAATCAGTATCTTAGCATACAGTTTTCCCACAATGCTAAAAGGCGACATTCCAAATACAAATTGAGCTCGTTTAATTTAGAAAATATATCCGCCAAGTTGGTGAGCTTGAGAATGAATTCTTCGTCCAGTAGATATTCAATATATTATTTAGTTTCTCCTTCCAAGTAAATTGCAACTTCATTGCGTAATTCCATAAACCGTGTCAGTACCTTCCCCCTGGATGACCAACGTACCTCCGTATGCAGAAGAAAAACCGTATGAAGACTACCCATTTCTTCACAGAGGCTTTGAAACAAACGTGCTTGTAAGGGTTTTGTTTTAATATAATTTACAATATTCACAGCTGTATTCATTACTGTTTTAAAATCATTAGGTAATGCTTTTGAAACAAGTGCTTCTCTATGAAGGCTACAGTGTGCCCATAAGGCACAGGGGCTTTGTTTAAGAACTTTTGTAACGATACCGTTATTTTTACCGCACATAGCCCGCGCACCGTCAGTGCATATACCGACATAGTTCTATCTTACTTATTAATATCTTTTATATAGGAATCAATTGCATTGAAAATTTCCGCAGCCGTTCCATGACTAATTGGCTTGCAGATAAAGATATCTTCATGCACGTCGTTTTGCCATAAATAACGCACAAAAACAAGTAGTTGAGATAGGCCTTGTGCGTCAGTAGACTCATCTAGTTGTAGTGTATAATATTTACTACAAACTACCCTCCGGATTAATTTATTTTCTGCCCATTTAGCCATTTCGTCGATTTGCCGTGCAACAGTATTATTGGACAGTGGTATGCGCTCGATTTATTTTACTTCTTTTTCTCCAAACATCACTCCAACAGCATCTTTCATCACTAAATCTTCGCCAATAGTATGAGGCTTACCTGTTCTGGCGATTTTTAAGATAATGAGGTACATTGAATAAAACTATTATTTACGAATTTTATCGCTTTAATTACTTTAATTTACGTTTTTAATACTTTTTTAATACTGTTTCGTTTTTAATTTACGTATTTAATAACGTCGGGATAATAAAAATAAATTAAAGTAATTAAACGCGATAAAATCCGTAAACAATAGTTTTATTCAATTTGTAGTGTTCGCGTAAATTGAAATCATTATAAGAAATCATTAATGAGGTACGTTACATATACAGCATTTTCATTAATATTAACGAAATGCGAAACAATATTTTTTGAATATTTCATATCTAACAATTTTCTTTGAAAAAATTCTACTGGCTTATTCTTAAAATGGGAATGCTTCGTTTCTAAATGACGCGTCAACTTACTTGGGCACATACTTTCTTTCGCTAATATTTAGTAGCAAATCGCGCATTGTGGATGCGGATCTATCGTATCACGATTCCAAGTAAATCCTAGTTCCAGATATTCAGGGTTATATTTTCTTATAACTTTCCGTCGCTTTGATACACTCGTTGAGGGAGCTTGGAAGTCAGCTTCAGTGCTACTTTTGTCATTTTTAAGAACATCTTCTATCTTTTCATTACTTTGTTCACAATCAATTATAATAACGGAAAAATGTTTCAACCATTTTTCCGTTATTATAATCAAACATTAATAATTGTTTTTAAAAATATTATAAGGGCGTACGCTAACAAACACAACACAACACGCGATAAACAAAATAAAAGATGTCCGGCTCAGCGATCGGTCGAGATATCGTCTTATGCTTCAGAGGCCACTCAATATTCACTCGCGACCCATAGTTTGGCAAATGCTGATCTAATGATAATAAATTCCCATAAGCTGCAAAAAATTCAGTCTGGTTTTGCTAATTTGTGAGCTACGACGCGTTCTGAGAGTTTTCTTCATAATTATTGTTGACTTTGTTTGTTAATATTTTTGTATAAAATATTTAGATGCCATTGAGACATGAGTAACCTAAGTAAATTAGTAAAGTACAAAATTTTCGTTTGTCTGTCTGTCCGCGCTAGTCTTCGGAATGACTGGACTGATTGTAACAAAACTACACGAAGTCACCAACAAATAGAGCGTAAGGAGTGATCTAGACTAATTTTTTCCGAAAATTTTGGTGTGTTAATCAAAATTGAAATATTCATAAGATTAAAATATATGATCTTTATTGATTATCTTAAGTCTCATTAATGCCAAATTAATAGGTCACACCCAGGCAAAGCGAGAGCGGGTCGCTAGTTAATATATTTTTTTATTAATGTGGGTACTTGGGTATAAATTTTTTTTCAAACAATTTCCCATTATATGTTATAACGGTGAACCGTTATTAGCGGGTTTTCGTTATTGGTACTGTGCATGTTGACGGTACGGGCTCGATGAGTCGCCATTTGTAATCCCGTTCTTTATCCGTACGGACTATATAACGGTATAGTCCGATTTTTTTATAGATATCAATTTATTTACTAGTAGATTATTTATTTTTTTGTTGAATTTTAACACTACCAGGCACTTGTTTATTTCAAATGTTCGCAAAATCTAAAATAAAATTTTTTGTTACCTTAGCTTGTTCACTACCATATCATATAAAACGTAAAATGATTTTATTTTGGTATATTTCTTTATAATAGAACAGCTAAGGCGACACTAAGCATGTATATATCCTTGGCTGGAACGTACAGTAAGGTGGACAGTGAATAAGGCACTTAATGTATTTGATTTTTGAATTTTCTTTAAAATCAGCATGGCAAGCAACTTAATAGCTTTTAGGGTTGAATTACGCCGCAACAAAACAAAATATTTCAAATTTCCTGATCTAAGTATTTTGAAAATAACACCAACACATACCTCAATCACGTTGACAGCTCAGTAGCACAGGCTTAGCGGGTGGTTAAAAATTAATCGAAACAAAGCGAGTTCGAATCGAAAACCGAATCAAATTTAAATTCAATTAGGAGCATAGACTTATAATATATATAAGCCAGTATGTATAAGCCAGTATATTCTAAGTCCATAGACTTAGAATATACTGGCGTATCTAAGTCTATGATTAGGAGTAAGGGTGTAAGCCAGTGTAAGCTGTGAGTATTCCGAACCAATTCGAATCGAACCAAGGAACAAGACATAGAGTAGAGTAATATATACAGAACAAGACCGATCAACAAGCGTTATCAGCGGCGTTAGGAACATACGGATTTTTTATCCGGGTATTACATACTTTTATTAAATTAAAAAAAATCACTTCCCATGATTTTTGTAATATTAAGTAGGAGTTCGTTGAGTATGGTTAACTTAATAAGAAAAAGCATTTACATCACTAGCGACTTTGAATGTTATTGTCGCCTAAAAAATAGTTTCAAGTAGATTTTTAGAGGTATGGTTTTGTGTAATAAACCTAAAGTTTGTCTTCAATCTCTCAAGAATACGCAATGTGACGAATCAACATATTGTGTAAAAATTTGTTGATATATTTTAAGATTAGATATTGTATGTATTATAGCGTTTTTACATACGATGTATTAATTTATTTAAATTTTATTGCATGCTCTTTGTAAAGGGTACTAAGGGCTTATAATCTTTCTTTACCAGTCGAATTAACTAAAATGATGCATATATACTACTCAAAATGTTGTACATATTCTCTTTGGCTGAAAGCCTTATAGCCAATGTCACACCACATTAAATACAAAAAATCGCGCGTATTTTTGAGATATTTCAAAAGAAAATTCAGTTTCAGTTATTCAGCAAAAATCAGCAATTCGTAAACTGCATTTGAGTGAGTATTTTTTTAATAAGCTAATAGTATATTAAAAAGTGAATATAATTTAATACTATATTGTAGCTCTATGAAAATTTATGGAAAATCGTTTAAAAGCACAAACTAACTAGATATGTTTAAAAGTTTTTGGGATCTTTGGTTTTGAGTTTCAAATTAAATATTATTCTACCCTATTATAAATAAATTCTAAAAGCTTCTTTTAGTTAAAATTTATGTAGGTATCTTTAGAAGTCGTATTAAAACTGATCATAAGATGGATGTAGTTGTGACAACTTTTAAAAATCCTTTTTCTTTTTATTGTGTGCCCAAAAGTGGAGGCATGGAAATAGATAGCGTTTGCCTAGCAGATAGCTCAGTAGACAACAAGTTAGTTCGATCAAAATTTGATGTATCTGATTTTGATCATGGACAAGTAAGAATTTTTTTTATTATTTTTATGTAGCGAAATCCATTCAATTTCTTTCTTTGGATGTTAAAAATTAGCAATGAGGAATCACATCACAGCTGTCAGGTATGACCACGCATTTGTAGCTTTCAATTATTTAATATAATTGCTTGCTAGTGGTCATGGGCTATAAGGAAATTCAAAATCGTTTTTTGGGCCTTCAAAATCATTTTTTGGGCCTTTTTTGTTAGCCTGCACATTCACTACAATGATTAAAAGTTGTAACAAAGATTTAAGGAAACAAAACCATGGATAAATAACATTATCTAGAAGTGGATGTATGATTGTATGTAAATTTGTTTTATAGTATGTTGCTGTGATGTGGAAAAATAAATGGACCCGTGGTGTTGTATCTATGGAAAGTCAGTTTTTAATTTGGCTTATTGACTATGGCATTTTCTTGCGACCAACCATTGATACTGTTTATGTCAATTTACCTCTTGAATACAGAAAATATCCAAGTAAAGTTTTTGAAGCTAGTGTACACGGTGTTACTCCTGTGGACAAGGTAAATAATACATGAATTATCAATATTTATTACATTTACAAACTTTTATTTACTTAAAATAAATTTATTATTTTATTTACTTAAAATAAATTCATAATTGTCATAATAGTGTAAGAAATATAAATACAATACTATTTAAAAAATAAAATACTAAAAAAAAATTTACTCCCGGTTTAAAATTTTGAAATCATTACTGTGAGTATTTTTTTCAGTTTGATGAAATTCAAGATAATCAGTTGAAATTACAGACAGTCAGCCACTAAAGAAATTGTATGAGAATGATTCTTATGATTTTTTAAATAAAAAGCCTTATTAAACTTTAAATTGAAAATGTACAAATTTGTAAGTTGACAGCATCGATCACTAATAATATTGTAAATAGTGATCGATGGTTGACGGTTAGCAAATTTCAATTAAATTATTTGATATTTTAATAACGATTGTGTTAAACCTCAACCAACTTCATACATATGTATATACAATAATTACTAGAAATAACATATTCTAAATATTTTATATATTCAATAAACAACCTTTTTACTTTATAGATTCTTACTCAAGACTGTCAAATCAAAAATAATGTTACAACAGTGTGGAATGAAGGAGTTACTGAAAAAGCTGAAGAATTGATAAAATTAGCCAACAGGACACACTTTGTGCCTATTGCCTTATTATCCTCAAAACATAATGATGTTGTTAGTACTTTCCTCATTATATTATTGGTATTAGGTGTATAATTTATCATTATGTATCATCAGCGCCATCTGCTGGAAAATTGATTGCAAACATTTTCATAAGGTAAGAAAAATTTTTAGTAAGGGTCCATCTGCAGAGGGCGTTACATTGAGAAGAAAACTAAAAATCAATAATTCCCATTTTTTCAAAATGTATATAAGATTTTCATCTCAAAAGGAAACAAAAACAAAAAACAAAAAAAGGAAACAAAAATTGTTTGAATTGTTTTTGTTCAAAATATAAAATATTATCATCATGAGATATTTGTAGTTATTTCGTTAAATTTGTTACTAGTGAAAGACCCCAACAAATCAACGAATCATACAAGTCAATATGATGTTTATACTTAGAAAAATAAATCATTGTATAATTCAGTAACAAAAAAAATATACACCCTCTTTATGTGTTATAGTTAAATAGCCCAAGTTAAAATTGTGGTAATGTTTTTAATTGTGATTAACATACAAATTACATTATGTCAGTCCTGCCCATTGATATACAAAGATTTTTAGTATATCAATGGTCCTACCATTTTCGCGTAATGCACAATCAGGTAGTCAGAAAAAAGAAAGGTAGCTTTCAAATCGGCAGTTGATGACACTGGCCCAATTAATATTTAAAGGTGTATAAGTAGATGTATGAAATACTAAACACATTTAAACGGAATTATTATGTTTACTAATATTGTTTCTGACAGCATCATTACTTTTCACTATGGAGTGTAGAAGTAAGGAGTACCAACTCCCAAACTCCCATAGTAGAATAGTTGAAACAGTGGCTATCTGTAAGCAGTAAACAAATGTTCAAAAACTCTCCACAACAGCGCTGGAGTAGCTACTGGGATGAAATGAACTTAGCAGTTGTCGACGGTTTGAAGTGTGCTGTTAAACTGCTCAGTAGCTCTAAAATCTAAAATAATTTTATTTAGTAAATATAACCTCGAAAACGTCGTCTATCTTACTAATATTTTTCGACACGTTCTTTAAAATTTAACCCGTAGCTATAGTGGCGCCACCCTTATTTAACGGTTTTCTATGGACACTTTAATACACAGTGTACTCCTTACTTCTACACTCCATACTTTTCACGTCAAATATAACAATATACAATAATAACAATAACTCAAAACACTATGGTACTTCGGTATACAAAAAGTACTCTGTGGTATGTATGTGTATGAATGAAGGCATCCACGACTTTTTCTGCCAACAGGGCGGCGCTACTTACAAAGAGAAAGTAATTCGTTCGAAAATGTAAAGGTTAATGTTTATTCCTGTACTATTAGTTAAATTTGATAATAATTAGATTAAAATAAATAAACCAAGCCACAGATATTCACTAAAGTAGAATCATTAAAAAAGATTTTTTTCACATGTTTAACCACTTAGGCATTATTTTGTGTTTAAATATAACACTCCAGAAACTGATAAACTTTTATTTAAAATTAACTTCTCAATTAAATGACATTGCGTAACAAAAAACTTGACCTCAGTGTCATCTAGCGACATCTAGTGAGCTGGCCCTCATTGTCTGATAGTCAGTGGCAGTATTACAGCATGTCAAGCATATCAGATATCAGTAAAGTTTTAATATGGTGATGATTTAAGCCAATAATTAGGACTTCCTTCAAATTGTCCCACTGTGCTTACTGCTCACTTAGTGCTTTATTATTTTAAGAGCAAGTAGGCAAAATATTTATTTAAATTGTTTAGGTAAGCAATTTAAATAAATATTTTTCTTCTCTACATAATTCTTCTACTCTACATAATTATAATTCTATTTTTAAAAGTTATTTGGAAAAACTTAGGACATGCTTGAAGTACATTTTTTTCTTTTCATTATTTTAACTATTTATTTACAGGTACTTGGGGATTTATATCTTGAGATGCCAGACAACCATATTGTTAACTTGATTGATGAATTAGAAACTTGGCCTGTTTTTTTGGAGAAAAATAAAGAGGACTATATTAAAAGTTATTATATTAATTAGTAATTTGTTTTTTAGAAGTGCTCAAATGTGTATTTAGTGTAAAATATTTACCTAATATATTCAAATAGTTTTACTGTGATATATATAAACTTTTATTGTGATATTTCAGATCTTACTTCTTTTTATGTAAGTCGGAGAAAACACCGCGCTTGTATATTAAAGCCAGACATTGCACATTCAAAGTTACCTGTTATGAGTTTGGAAACATCTTTAGATGAATATAGCGCCATCTGTGCTATGAGCCAGCAACAAAGCACGAAACCGCAATGTGATTCAGGTTCGGAAGATGGCAGCACGGTACTAGATGTAAAATGTAACTTTAAAAAAGAAGAAAAAGCTTTCAAGTTGACCCACGACGAAATTAAAAAATATGCAAACATGTATGTGTGCGTGCGTGGACGAGAATATAATGTATTAAATGTCCTAATAAATAAAATCCGTGACCTAAATATGTGCGAACGTTACAAAGATCACGATTTAAAATCTGTTGGATGTGGTATAACACACAGGCGATCTGGTAAGAATTAAAAAATAGGTTTTTAGGAACTTTGTTTTGTTTTCCCCATATTATTTTTATGTTTAAATTTGATTGTGGATGATGATTTATTTTTAAGATATTGATGTCATTACCCAGTGTTTAATTAGAAATTTCATCGGAGAACTAAGTTTTTTAAAAATAAAAGGCTCATAAACTTAACAATTTCAGACTAAAACTAGTTTAATGGAATTCTTATACATGTAGCTACAATGTGAAGTTGCTATTATCATATAAACATTTCATTAATTACCATTAATATTTATATTGTAGATTGTAGAAACCCACTGTGTTTGCTGCAAAACCACTATTAGTGTTAATGCTCACAAACTTGTTTAACATTATTTTTGTTGGTGTTTTCACCTTTATTTTTTATTGAAAATAAAAGTAGGATTTCGTTTTTTTTTTCAAGTTTTATTTTATATACAAATAGAAATTATTCCCTTAAGTAAATATACTTAGTTAACTTACATTATTTCTTAAATTAATAACATTATGCTATATGTATGTATTTACGACGGAATTCGGGCAGTGCGTTTGGAAGAGATCTCAAACTCAAAACAATAATTTTAAGGCAAGTTCTTAAAATATACGACGAAGTACGATGGTGTTGCTTTTCAGCTGTATTAAATAGTTATATTCAAGACAGTACCTTAGAACAATGCAATACCGTTGTTGGTTATTTCTTAAGGCATTGATATAGAATCTAGTATATTACGTTCGCTGGTCGAATCACCAAATCCACGATTCTCGAAGTGTTATATCATCTTTGAATTTAAAATAATTTGAATACGGAATTGCCTAATGAATTCTGATAATAACTTATAAGTAGCGGGTTTGGAATGATCACAGACGGATTCCAGGGTTTGTGCTTGCGACGTAATTGAGAAGTTCCTCAGAGTCCTCGCATACGACTGGCTTTTCATGATAACACGCGACATCATGCCACGCGATGCCGTCGTTATAGACGTTGTTGAGGATGCTCATGCAGGACTCGGTAGTGCCGTTGATGTCAAATTCGGCGTTGTCAGGTTGGCGCTGTTTCTTGTGACCGGTCTGCGACCATGGGTTGTACCCCCAACCGTTAGGGATCTGAAATATAATTTTTATATTAATGATAAAATACGAAAACATTAAAAATTATGGAAAGGATGATATACGTTATAGTACGTTTTATACATGGTAGGGCCATGCTGCAGTTATATTAAAAGTATAGTTGTAGCACGAATGGGTCGGCTCGACCGGGGAAGGACCACGCTCTCACAGAATACCAGCGTAAAATAGTAGCTTAATGCTGCTGTGTTTCGTATGGTGAGTGTAGAGAACCGGAGACCCTTTTTACTGGAAACGAGGCATTTCATCTTAGTCCTCACGGGTGATAACGCATCTGCATTTTGATTCGTAATTGAGGATAGATGTAGATGTCTATGGGCCACAGCAACCACTTACCATCAGGTGGACTGTGTGCTCGTTTGTCACCCTATCCTATAAAAAAGTACCTATACGCAAACCTATTTCTGAACAAAGTTGTAACTAAGTATTTCTAAACAGGAAGAATAAATATATACCTGCTTAAGTTTATTAAATGCGTAAAATAACTTTTACAAACCTGGTTGGTCGGCGACATCTTTTCCCTGTTTGCAGACCAGAACCATCCGAAGATGTTCTTGGGCTCAAGATCTTTACGGGATTCGCATCCTTTGAAATCGCAAAGGCGTCCCGAAGTCCAAATGTACGGAACGTCATCTGTGACACGGAATAATGTAATTTTAATATTAGACTTTAAAATATACATTTTTCATTAATTCATTACAGATTATAAGAAGTTTATATAATATATTATATTATATAATTATATTATATAATTATTTTAGAGACATATATTTTCCCCATAGATTGTCTCATAGGTGGAATATTTGCATTAGTTGCCACTCTTGACTACCGCAGTCTATTTTGAGTTACCAGGAAGATGCTGTTGCCGTCTCCTGTTCCATTGCCACCGTTGCCTCTTATGACATCCCCTGGATGATATTGGGTAGTGGAATCTTTTATGCCGTATCATCTTAAATTATTGATTATGATATATATTTTTGAAACATTACCCCCTAATATTTGAGTTACACCAGTGTTTTCTCCTGTAATATGGAGACAGTTTACAAACCTAAATTGCTGTTTGCGCCTAGTAAGCTTTTTGCTGATTTTCTTTAGTGGGATTATATGGATCAAATTATATAGGTAGGGTTTTAAAAAAGAAAGTGCGGAAAATATAGTGAATGTTGAAGTTGATGCTCTCAAATGCTCAACTCTTCTTGTCGTCAGCAGCGCTGCTATTGCAAGAGATTCGCGTACACCACCAGTCTTTGGTTCCTTGATGTGTTCAATTATCATCCAGACCAATCCAGACCCGGAACAATTATTTGTATGTCATCCAAAATACAAATACTTGTTCCGTGCAAAATTCGAACCCACGGCGTATTGTATGTTATACAAAATACAACTGTTTGTTCCGTGCGAATATACCACCTATATCCGTGCCTATGGATTAATTGGAGGCAGAGAGCATCGTTCAAAGTGGGAAACTAATACCCAGCATAAGGTGTATTTGTCAAATTTTGACGAAAAGAGTAACTTTGATATAATCTGACTTTCTTAAACAACTGCTGGAAATATTTTGAATATACCGGTTTACTTTTGGAATCCTGTACCTAAGTACCCACTGACATCGCCTGTGTAGCAATAATAAATACGGTAATAGATTTACTTTGCATCATTTCCGCTATCAATCTGCACAATCAGACTAAGCACAACATTAGTGACCCCGACGACGCGATTCGGACACGCAATCTTGTGATATTACCATTTTATATTATTTTGTATGTACTTATAGTTTTTTTTTAATATTTGTTGAGATTGTGATGTTCACTCTTGTCTTTTTGCATCCTAATTTTAACACTGTTTTTTTTTAATGACTATATTATTAAAATAAAGCAGGGATGATATGTAACGACGCTTTTGTACGCTACGCATACATCGGATTATCATTCAGTAGTCTGTTATCACTCACGCTATCCTAAGAGCTGTGTACAGTAATTTAGTATAGATTGATAGCCGTGTAGTGGCGGCGTAAAACCATCCACTATCATCTCGTGGATGTAATAAGAGGCGACAGATGGAAACTTAAATGGCTTATACAGGTACATATATTCATAATAACAATTCAATTATAAGAAAACTGCGGATAGAAACTCGCCTGCCAAGTGCAGCGGGTATGGAAAATATGGGTGCAGCTCATCGCCTGGGAAGGCCTATGTTCGAACAGTTGATTTTTGCATGTGATGTAATAATGATGATCAGTAATAAATAAACACTAACAGACTTAAGTTACAACCAAGTAATAACATTTCTACTTTTTAACCTGCACAATACACATGCAAAACAGGTCTTCACATTTTTGAGAATGCACCAACAAATAGTTACCTAATGCACACTCAAAAAGGGTCTTTATTCACTTTGTTGGGCAGATGTAAGTGTGCATATTCATTTCCATTTTATTCAAATAATAATCAACCGATGTTTCCAAAGAAGCTTACTTACTCTGCTGAATAAGCTTGAAGATCAGATTGTTTTCTTCCTGAGTTTCCATAGAAACAAGATCCATACAGTATTCACGGCAGATGTTGCGTCCGTCCAACCAATCAAACTTTTTGTTGGCCAGCGCGGGAACATGTCCGGTGTAGAAGTAGTGATGACCCTGGTAAAAGAATTCCTTTGGTCCTGAAAAGAATAATTTATTTTAAGGAAGTACAAACAACGCGGGTTTTTTAATCATTGTGGCAAGTTTTCAGTGACACAGACATTACTATTTAATATAATTGCGTTTATAATAATTACAGCGATTACACGTTTGTGTGGACTAAATGCACATGTGGTGCCAAGTAAGTACTATGTAGGTACCCTTTACCTTAGGACCCTGATTTTAAAAATAAGTTAAAAAAACTTCATAGGCATTTATTTTAATTCATGTGATTGGCCATTGTTTATAAATTCTCATTAGAGAATATCGAGATTAATTTACCCACATTAAAATCTTAGTCACGTTAAACTTATAACGTTACATCAAAATTCGATGTACATCTGACAATTGTTGGCTGGCTACAAACAAACCAACGACACAAGGCTACATATTGACCTCACGTAACAGTCTCGACGGCACGAATAAAATAACAGTATAATAATTATTTACACAGGCGGACGTTTAGTGCAGCGTTAATAGACTCCGACCCTCATAAGTAGAGTCATGTATCCATCGAATATCTCAATCATGGTCGTGACATTGAAGTTCCCTAGGTGATTTAAACAGTCGTGTTAATTTTGGTCAGTGTTGTAAAAACATACCCAAACATATTTTTACATAACCCGGCTTACAAACTTTACGTATTACGTAAAACAGTGGACACCTGTTCGGTTATGCTTTGAAGCGACAAGCCATACATTCGGCCGTTTTTGTTGTGTTCGACCTAATTGTGACGAAAGAAATTAGTTTTATTAAATTAAAGGAATGTGTGGAAATTATTTGCCATATGATTGCTTTTAAAAATTGTACAAAATGGGTTAAGAAAAACTTGGCTTCTAACCATCAGTTTATACGAAACTATATATAACTGATACGGTATGAAATTTTAAACTGATTTAAATAAAACCTAGGATTAAGTCACCCTCCAAGGTTTCACCTAATTATGGGCGATGGTGTACTACAGGAGTACGCAATTTTTTTAATGAGAAATCTAATTGCTCTGATGATATTTTTCTTCACTCTGTTGGCTAAGTTATTAAATTAAAGTTGTGCATAGTTTAACAGCCCTTTAATCACTTTGGTTTACTAGCCGGTAATAAGTAAAAAATACTACATAAAATTACCATAAGTCGTGCAGCAACGGTTGCCATTTGAATACAGTGCCTTTATCACGCTAGGCCAATTTGGCCAAGGACATTCTACCGGATGTATTTTTTATATTTATTTTAACAAGGCACTTGACGCCGTCAAATCCTAAATTTGATGGACATAAGTATAAAAATTGTGTGTACACTTAATCAGATATTCATTATGCAATTCCGCATCCAATGAATTTGGTTCCGAGTCCCCAATCATCACATACATACATACACTTCAAAATCGTAAAATTAATTCACGCTCACTCATTAACACACTCAACTTAAGAATAAGATATCTGTTCTTATTCTCTGGACTTACGAAAATCGGGCGCATTTCATCAGTCTCTAGAAGTTAATACTTACTTTAGTCAATAATATATATTCTTTGCTTTAGTGCTGCAAAAGGTTGAGTTAATGTAATGAAATAAAAAGCTATTTTCAACCTTGTTTACCGGCCTTATAGAAGGTACCTCTATTGTTACACTATTTATGAGGTTCCTCTGACTGGAGAGGTAAATGTGAAATCTCCCGATGATATCCTATTTTCGACCGTACTTGTGGGGAAATAATAGGCACGTATGGCAAAAAATACACAATCCAGTTAGTCCCTAGAGTCCTTAACGTATGTTAGTAAATGTTGGGTGTGGCAGAATAATCATGTAAAACCTAATGCTATAGAAATACGATTATTAAGAAGTATTTTAAGGACAACTCAGAAGTTATGGTGAAAAATTATGTGACAAGAGAAAAGTGTAGTTTGTAAGATGTCGTGAGTCGGATAAATAATGGAATGCTTTGGTGGTTCGGACAAATAGAAAGAATGAAGCAAGAAAGTGTTACAAAGAAAATGTATGCAGTAAGGTGAGTAATATTATGTCAAAGTCATCCAAAATGGAAGTCTATAGTTTCTTTCTACTTTTCTGAGTGTGAACGTCTTATGTTTATGATATCTTAATATAAAAATGTGTGTTTTGCGTACTACTCCACAAACATTAACTCATAACGGCTCTCATGTTTTAGAGCCCAAGCTAGGTGACCAACGAATTAAACATACACTTTTGTTCATAGAATATATATAATTTTGTTTGTTTGGTAAAATTCGTCAAAACGAGTCAGCTTTAGATTTAATATGTTTTATAAGCTAGATAAAGATCTACGATCTAAAGTAACAAAATTTTTAATCATGTACTTACATAGTTAAGTAACTAAATTAAGCGTTCGTAGTTTATTATGATACCCGTTCAAACTTGAGTGAAACAATTACTATTCGTTGCATAAAATATTAGTAAAGAGGCGTGATTGCTTCGTGAGTGTGCTTGGATTCGCACGGCGGACAATTACGTATTTCGAATGGAACCTTGCGCGGTGACAGTCAGACGGATGTGCGATTGTTTACCGCCGACAATAGAAACAATTCTCGCGAATCTTAATTATTCTCATACTCGTGTAATGTTCAAATAATAGCCTATTATCAGAAAATGTTTTATACGATCAGATTAACATTTTAATCGGCGGATGTAAAGTGCTTTTAATACCAATTACGACTCAAAATAATAAAAGTTGCAAATGACTTTAATAAACTTTTTCGCGTTTAGTTATCATACTTCTCGGTTGCATTGTTTTCAGAAGACTAATTATTTTATAATACACATATTTCATTATGACTACCGCGATGATCGTTAGCGCTATGGTTCCGTACGGCACATATTACCCCCTAACCTTAATAATAGGGGGTAATATGTGCCGTATGGGCACAGAATACATAATGGGATTAATCTATGCAGCAATGGACTTTTCATAGGCAGTAATGGGAATGGTAATTATATAAAAAAATGTAAACCTATATAAAGCAGAAAGGTTAATAAAATATTAAAATTATTAAGTACTTTGATATTTTATCGGAATTAACCAATAATTTACAACCTTAAAGTATAACGATCGGGCCGTAATATCATCGATATAACTTAGAACTTATATTGAAAGGCTAAACTTTGATGAAGGCTGTATTGCGAAATTGCTTCATCACTGAGACTCAACTATTTTTTGTAGTTCACGAACGTGGTAACTTAAGTAAATGTAATTTTCAATGTTTCAAGAAAGGTTATTCATATAATATTATACTCGTACATCAATAAACTCGCTATTACATTATCATAATATGTAAATGATCATAGATTTAATATGATTCAATGAATATGAAAAAGCTGTGACAGTTTAATTTGTACGTTTGACCCATATTATTTATGATTTATATGATGTGACCATGTGCAACTAAAACCTCAAAACGGAGTCAGAAAAGTAGGGTCCAAATGCAAGACTTGAGTGAAACTGTATTCTTACTCTAAGAGTGGAATATTTAAATAACAAAATTGTTGATTAATTCGTACATATAAGATTTCAAAGCATAGAGATTAATTTCTATGTGTGTGAATTTGTTAAAATAAAATTGACTACATGCTAGGTAGTCAATTCGGAGACAATTTTTATAAGAATTTGCATTTCTACTCTCAGTTCTTCGAGTATTGGGAATCCCCTTTTCTGGGAGTCGCCTCTACCCAAAGTCTAAGCCAAATACGTGCTCTTATTACCACTCTTCTTACGACACTTGTATTTTTTACTAATGCAAGAATAACAACGGTGGCTTGAGATGATGTATGAACAACTATATCGACGTCCATCTTGAATGAATATGAATATTCTACGATCGTACAGCGTAATATGTATGTTTGACTGATAGTTATCACAGCATATTATGATGAGATAAATTTTTACGAAGACAATGTGGTAATACAATAACGGCCTAAGGTTATAATTTGTAGGCAGTATTTATGAAATTCACCTAAATATTTTACCACTTTTTTAATCTAATATCTTTAACTAAATTTTCCATTGTGTCCACAGTGTTACGAAATCAGGGTTTTCCGAATAATACTATATCTACTTTTTATTCTTAAACATTTTGTTTTTGTTTCTCTCAAAATTCCTTCAATTTTTTTGTTAACAGTTTAAATAATATTTCGAAATATTTTAATTTACACAAAATAAATTGAGGAGCTTCGTACTCAAAAATGCCGAACACAAATCCCTTAAACTGGTTACGTGCAGCAGCATTGCCATCGGTCACCGTAAGTGTACCAAGCGTGCTGTTTGCCAACCAACCCGCCTGCTCCAGTCTGGGTGTTTATTTTATTTGAATTTCTTTATAAAACATGACCCCTACACTAGGATTTTCTGAACGGGTTCCCACCTTGTTGTGGCGGGGTGGCATAGTAGCCGTGCCTTGGACGGTGAATTAAGAAAAACGCACAAGGTTGGCCCGTGGTGAAGGGCTGGTCCGGGGTGGCCACTCCGAGTGAGCTGCGGGGGGAGAGAAATGACGATGCTGGGGATATTAGCGAAAGCTATATTTAAAAAATATAAGCTATTATTTTTTAAAAAATGAGAAATTTTAATTTAAGCCGGCTTAAACCAAAGATAATATTTTCATCAATAATTCATAAAGAAATCATAAATTTCACGAAGAAAGGAATTTAGCTTATGAACATGTTGAACTTTTGAAACAAAATATTATCCAAATAGAGGTGCCGTTAAACTGTGCCGTCAGTTTCTAACACAACTTTAACTGCTAGCAATATCGTGGTGTTGAAAGTTATTATTGGTTAACATGCTTTTGATATTCACTAACCTTTATTACTTATGAAACGACGCATTCAATAACAACCTGCATTTAAGGTTCCTTGTTGGTATTAACACAATACCTTAAGTTTTGAATTTTCTTCATTAAAATGTCGAGCAATGTAAGCTCTGAATAGCTAGTGAAAGCTCTCTCAATCAACGTTGTA